TAATAATATATGTATATAATAATAATAATATATGTATAATTATTATTATAACTATAATAAAAACTATAAACTAATTATTATATGCCATTGTCGCTATTTCCATGAACCGACAAATACGAAGATGGCGATTGAAAAATTATTACTTTTTGATGCCAATTTCTGACCTGAAAAATTCTTTGCAGGATTCTTGTATTTATTATTTAAAACATATTAAATAAATTGTAGTTATAAGGTCACAATGATTATATCAATCTTTTAATTAATTAGTAAATAACTAATTTAAAATATTAATTAAAATTATATTAATTAAGATATTCGTAAAGTTCTTGTGAAAGTTATTTACATAATTGCAGTTTATTTATACATTTCGACAGATTCGTCATTTCGTGTGAACCATCCTGAGCTCTGCTTACAAAAAATATGCGGTAATCGCGCGATAGTATTAGCATTTGCATACATGAAAACACTTTGGCGATGCTTTTGTTTTTTGTTTTTGTTTTGTTTTACATTTACATTCAGCGTTAGGCCCACTGAATTGTGGAAATGCTTAAATAATTGAAAACATAAATTATGTGGAATAAATTCTCATGTAATTTACAATGAAACTTTATAATATACGGTATTTTATAAGATTATTTTTTTTAACAGAATAAAATAGGTAACATTTTATTGAAAAAAAAAACAGATTTTACATCTATAGACGTAAGTTGATTTAATATGCTGAATCATTATTAAAGGTATAGGCATATACCTATTATATATTTCTATAAATTAATCAACAAATATCTCATTAATCACAACATCGCAAATAGGCCTATTGAAGTATTATTAATTCTTTATTAAAGCATTATTCGAGCACCTTCATTATTATTATTATTATTATTATTATTATTATTATTATTATTATTATTATTATTATTATTATTATTATTTTATGTATTATTTATCAACCATACTAACATTGAAAACATGAATTATGTGGATACAATTATCATAGAAAATATACTTATAATTTATAAGATTATTTTTTAAAACAGCAGAATAAAATAGATATCTTTATTTTAAAAAAAAACAGGTTTTGCATAGACGCAAGTTGATTTAATATATGCTGATTCATCTCATTAATTAAACAATTTTTATTCATTTCGAGCACTGTTATTATTATTATATTATTATTATTATTATTACTATTATTACTACTATTTTATTTTAAAATTTTTGTTGTTTTATTTTTTGTTTTATGTATGGGCCTAGATATAGGCTATGTATATATTTAATAATTAGAAATAATTATAATTTAATTATAAAACATATATAATATAATGTTAACAATATTATAGGCTAGGCTAGACCTAACCAATACCATAATCTATAGGTAAAAACATCCATTTGATAATTAAACAGCAGCTTTTCGAGTGGCAGTGCCGATAGAAAACTGCAGTGTTTTGGCACTGCGGCAGTGCCGATAGAAAATCGGAGCATTTTTC